CAAGGTAAGCGCTCTACCACTGAGCCACCTTCCCAGCCCCTCCATGATATTCTTATCTCCAATTAACCACCAAAAAGCTGAAAGTGTAGGTGTGGCTCAAGTTGTAGAGGCCCAACCTTGAGCAAAAAAAGCTCAGGGACAGTACCCAGGCCCAGAGTTCAAGCCCCAGGACCTCTCCCTCCCTCCACACAAATGTACTAAATGAATATACAGAATTTGCAAAAGAGTTGCACCCTGATTATTTTTATAAAACCCAAACTTCATCCAGGTGTAGTGGCTGACATCTGTCATTAAAGCACTCTGGAGGCTGAGGCAGGAAGATAGTGAGGTCAAGGCCAGCTTGGGGGCTACATGGGTACATCCCAAATTGGCTTGGGATATAGAATGAAACCCTGCTTAAAACAAAATAACAACAACAAAAAACACCCCAGCCTTCTAAGCCGGGTGCCTGTGGCTCACGCCTGTCATCCTAGCTACTCAGGAGGCTGAGATCTGAGGATCGCGGTTCAAAGCCAGCCGGGCCAGGAAAGACTGTGAGACTCCCATCTCCAGTGAACCACCAGGAAACCGGCCGTGGCGCTGGAGCGCTCATCTTGGAGCTGAAGAGCTCGAGGACAGCGCCCGGGCTCCGAGTTCAAGCCCCACCACCGACAACACTGACACCAACAGTAACAGCAAGAACGAAGACCTGCCTCCCGGTGGTTCCCCCAGCCCCGGGGCCTGGGGGTCGGCCGGACGGGTCGCTCCGCTCCGGGGCTGCAGCTCTGCGCATGCCCCCTCTCCTCCCCGCTCCGGGTCACCCAGGCCCAGGCAGGCCTCCCGCGCACGGCGGCGGCTCGCTCCCGGGGAGGAGCGGCCCGGGCCTCGTACCTGCAGCTCGCAGCCCTCCACCGCGCCAGCGGTGGGCCGGATCCGGCGGCATTCAGCCGGCCGACCCCTGACCCCTTAGCACCCGCCCTCCCGTCCCGGAAAGGCCCTTGCTGTGATGGAAGGGAAACTTCCGGCTCGAGAGCCAATCCGCGGGCCCGCCTGTGAGGAGCCGCGCCTTGGGGCGCCCCGCTTCCGGCTTCGGGTCAGGGTCTGGGCCGAGGCGCGGCTGGCATCATGTCCGGCCGCGAGGGTGAGTGTCT